TGATGACCCTTCCAAAGCATGATCTTCAAACACCTTCGAAGAGGACTGACGAGGGCTTGTAGCCAGAGGAAGGAGACACCAAAGTCCTTGCTTCATCCGTGTTGGGAGCAGTGCAACTACATGCAAGGCCCGACTATAGTGAAGGTTGCAACTATCTAAGTTTGTTAATTCAATTCCTCTTATTTTGGGACGGAGAGAACCATTGTAACAATTATTTTAAGTATATACTTCTCGGTCCTAAAATAAGTGTCTCAACTTTATACTAAGGTTAAAACAATTATTTTGAAACTGAGGGAACCATTGCAACACTTCCATTATACAATTCATACTTATGTAAGTCTTAAACAAAGAAAAATGACAAGCCAGGTTCTAAATCTTTAGGAAAGACACATATCATAAGAAATAATGTCTTACATCAAATACTTCCATAGCACACCAGTTCCGGACAAGAACATGCATACAAACCTCCTTATCAAAAAAAAGAAGGATTTAGCGGTGACGGTGGATCCTTGCCACCGCAGCCCAACCAAAGGTAACTATGAAGGGCCAAAGTGTAGTGACCATTATGAGCGTGTACATCCTTAGTAATTCTACCATTCCTTTGAATCGGCCCTTTCAAATACATAATGGTCGTGCAAGAATAACGAATTTAGAAACAACATCCATATATATGCCTAGCCATACGGTAGGAGCAAGAACACAGACTGCAACAGCAGTATTACGAGCAACCGGACCTAGCACCATATACACACCCAGCGCAAATGATATCGACATGAATATGAATGAACTCGAGAAGGAAAGCGCAGATAAGACTAAGTAGACTTCACGGGTGACCAAGTTAACCATTGGATTTGCAGGATACGTGAAGCCAATTGTAGCCAGCGAGGAGCATATGAAAGCTAATGTGGTGGCCATCATGAAAGCGTCAAAAACAAAACTCCCAGCATATGTTGGCGTGACTCCATTTATATGATCATCGTTTCTGTAACCTCCAGGGATGGCAAAGGTTGTACTGAAGGCCACAGTTGCTATTAGGACTGAAGCAACGACACACGTTTGTGTTGCATCTTTCAGCCTCGGTGATTCTTGGTCCTCCTCCTCTGGCTTTGGCGGCCGACGGAACGGTTCCTCAGTCTTATCCCAGCGAACGACACCATAGTTCGCCCCAACTGACTTCAAAGCATGGTATATTTTATTCTCAGAGTTCTGGAATAAAAACAAGAAGGATTATATGAGTACCAAATGAAGCAATGTGTCATTAATTATTTATTTTATTCAAGGGGCAAACTTGAAAGTAAAACGGAGTATTACCTCTATATAATTCAATCTGAATGAAAGCTTACTGATGGATAGATCAAAGGGAGATTCCCCCTGGTTATTTGTTATATTCAGATTCACCTCAGGATTCCCCAATAGAGCACAGAACATCCTAAAGTTCCGAGCTTGGATAGCCAAGTGCAGTGCAGTGTTTCCATCATTGTCTTGCATATTCAGAATCCAAACTAAAGATGGAGTTTCACATACATAGAACACTATGTCCCGTATTTCTTTCTCGACAGCAACATGAAGGAATGTTCTTCCTTTAGCATTGCGCAACCCAACACAATTTGGATACTTGCCACGGAAAAACCGTATGGCATCTTTCGCACCTGCAGAGGCAGCCAAATGTATGGGGAAAGATCCATTCTTGTCCGCTTGATACAGTACGGTGGGGTTCGCTTCGAATACTATCTTGAGCATCGATGTACAAGTCCGGGAAATCCATACAAAACGACACCAAGGAGGTCTGCTGAGGAGCTCAAGTTGCAGACACGAGGCAGTCCCAAAAGACAACGATGAAGCAAAGTGAAGCGGCGTTCTTCCATCTTTGTCCACCTGTGTAGTAAGGTTTTTGTTCCAATGCACTAGGAACTCTATCATCACTGTCAAGAATACACATTTTGTGTTAGTGAATCAAAGTAGGAATTATCTTAATCCAAATAACATTTCGTAGAATTGGGCGTTAATTTAACCACGTTCCTATATGAAGACGATGACAATAACAACATCAACAACAAGGTAAGTGTAGAGAACTATATCTACTACTCCCTCAATTTCAGAATATAAGGTGTATTGTTTTCCGTGCAAGTCAACTATTTCAACGTTTGACCAAGATTATAGAATAAAATAACAACACCTGCAATACCTAATAGAAAAAATATGAAATTACTTTTCATGATGAATCAAATGATATAAATTTCATATTCCGGATATTCATATATTTTTCTAAAAACTCGGTCAAACATGCACTCGTTTGAACAAATACACCTTATATAAAGGAATGAAGGGAGTATATGCTAAAAACACAATTTTGGGGCCCCTACTTATGATGCCAGGTTGCATGCATCTCCACACCTTTACAGAGATATGTGAGATGATGAAAATGAAGTGCAGATCCTCATGCGGTAAAACTAAAATTGTTTCATTTCTCTTTGAGAGGAAAAGCAAACGAATGGTTCCTATCTCTTTCGAGAGTCGCCGTTACAAAATGCGAAATATGTTGCAATATATTTATGACTAAGTTTTCTGGGATTTTCTAGTATATTTTCTTTTTCTGAACACTCCTTTGATCGAGCATATAACAACCATAGGATTTTCTAGTATATTCCATTTGATTCATATTCAAAAAAGGTACTATCCCCGGATGGACCGGCGGCGGCGAAGCTCGTTGCCTTCTTGAAGGTGTCGTCGCGGCTCTCATTGCCCGTTGTGTTGCTCCAGGGGAAACTCTGACCCTCGGGTCGGGCGGTGGCGGCGCTCCGGTGTCGTATCCTTCCTGAAGGCGCCGCCTTGGAGTCCACAGTTCGTCGCATGCGGCTTCATCTCTTCGTAGATAGGGGTGGTGTTGCTGCGCTCAGCGCCTATGTATCATGCCTTGGGTGTGTGCGTGCGTTTGTACTGCTGTGTTGATGATCGTTGTTTTATTTATAAAGCGGGGCGAAAGCCTTTTTCGGTAAAAAAAAAGGTTTTCATTTGAACAAATTTATGTCATATAACTAGTTTATCAAATGTATGCTAAAGTTAGGCTCAAAATTCTAGGGGACGCTATGATTTAGAATGAGGGAGTTGACATGGAAGTTCTAAAATATATATGCATTTATTAGTGAGTACCTGAGTCTCTGTGTGGAAGAACACCAACATGCAGGGCATTTTGTCCATCTGCTCCGGAATAGGAGAGATTGCCACCACTCTTATCATACAGAATCAATGCAATAGTACTCTTCCCCAGCAAGATGGCTAGATACAAGGGTGAAACGCCATCCGCAGGATAATTAGCTAACTCTGGATCAGCACCCATCAGTAGTTTGACTATATTCTTTTCTTCCCGTGCGCCGTCAGCATCTTCCTTATTCTTTTCTTCTCCGACGGTGTGAGTAGCATCAAGCAATGCTCTTCTTTCCTTCCATCCCAGAATTCGACCGTCCTCAAATCGGACAGCCTCATGCAGGGCCGTCTCGTGACGCTTATTTTCCATTCTCAGGAGCCCGAGCTTCGTGTCAGCACCCTCATGTGCAGCTACATCAATGAGATAAGAAACCATTTTGGAGTTCCCAGATCGGGCAGCACAATGCAAGGGTGTGTCACCCTTGTGATTCTTCGCAAACAGAAGCCCCCTTTCCCTTCCGTAGATGATGCCGGCATACTCTAGGAAACGTTTGCCATCCTCCTGATTCTGTGCGAGCACATGTAGTGCAGTATCACCATCAGGAGTGACGCCCTTGAGGAGTGCTCCATCTGCAAGTGAAGCAGCAGGCTGGTCCTCGACGCCCTCTTCTACATCACCAACAATTGATACTGCAGTTCTTCCTTGGGCACTGCTGCCTCCCTCTACCAACTCGAGAAATTCTTGAGAAATAATCATCAGTGGTGGACGTTTTGCGTCTTCCCTCTCTAAAAGGACACTCAGTGCCATCGAGGAGCCCTCGCGTGCCGATAACAGAAGCAAGGGATTGATGGTACCAGCTGGGGATTGGTCGTCTTCGGAAGGCTTCTTACTCGTCGCCGTCGCATCAACCATCGACATGGCATCCTCCTTGTTCAACCCATGCTTCAACTTGTTGACATCGCCACCGTCTGTGGCCACCATCAGCTTGGCGTCCATGGCCAGTATGTGGTTTGGAAGTTGGTTGGAGTTTTTGAGGTTGGCTGTCCTCCTAACTCGCGTCTCAGCGCACTCTTAAAACAACTTCAAAGTCTTCTCCCCTTTCTGTTTAACCAACTTGTGCTCTTATAATTGGTTGATCTTTCCCTCGTGGTGAAGATTCTTCCGGGGCACATGGCTGTCTATGTGCTTCAAACCTACTCCTGTATTAATCAATGTTCACAATGTCCTTGAGATGTGCAAGGTCACATGAACACCGGTTCTAAAGCTGCTCTTGTATTTTTCTATCTTCATGAGGGACGGTGCATAGTCTATGGTGGACTAGGCCACCTATCTCAACACCCTAATATTGGGCTTTTTATCATTGAGCCTTCTTCTTTGACTTATCATTTTTACCTCCTCTGTTCTTTCTATTGGCTTATTTGACAGGACCTTGACAATTTTACCACGTAGATGCTATGCAGGATAAGGCAGGACCTTGACGTATACTCTACTTTTTTTGCAACGACCTCACTTGTAGTTGTGGTTATAATATTCCTTACTGCTCATCTAGAAAAAGAGGAAAAAGAATGCCAGCCAGCTGCTAAGAATGCGCAAATGATTGTGACTTGCCTCCATATATAGAATGCATCCATCCACCTACCGGCAAAAATATGCTATGCGCATCAAACGTAAACTTGCAAGTGGATGGCCAACTTGAAATATATATGCACATAATACTATAGGCCAACTCTTTGCACAATGCAAGAGAAGTGACCCAAGGGATACGACAATAGCCGCTTCCGGTGCCTAATAAAACTTTGCTGTGGATGCTGACAGGGAATGATGATTTTCTAATCAGTAAATCACCAAGAGCCGTAGAACTGATGTTCTATGGTTTGTGCTTCAACAAAATCAGCAAGAATGGTTGTAGCGGCCGGCCGTTACGTTGTCAATATATACTCTAGTCATAGACGTACCATGGCTAGATTAGATGGGATTGATGCGTTCCAACTTAATTTTAGTGACAATTTGGCATTACATGCCTTCAGACGGGAGCTCTATTAGCACATAGCGATTGATGCTAACATGCTGTTGATTAGTATTACATTCCTCCAGAAGCAGGAAATGATCCTCCCTGGTCATTCTGGCCATTCGCATAAGACTTTGAATGATTTCTTTACGAATGGTCCAACTTCACTCCTCCAGAAGCAAAAGTGTTTGATACTTTTCTGAAATGTGGTGGATTTGGGAAATTTCTGGATAACTATCTTCCTCTCTAGTCTGTACAATACATATACTAGTTTACATGGGCCACGTGGGCCAGACTTACTCACACATATACAGCCCAACACCCCCCCTCAAGATGGACGATAGATATCTATCATTCCCATCTTGTCACACGCAAAATTACACTCCTTGACACCTAAACCCTTAGTTAAACAATCAGCCACTTGTTCTCTAGAGCTCACATAACTTATCCTGATTATGCCATCATCTAACTTCTCCTTGATGAAGAAGCGGTCTATCTCGACATGCTTGGTTCTGTCATGCTGAACTGGATTATTAGCAATGCTGATAGCTGATTTATTATCACACCATAACCTTAGGGGATCCTTTCTTATTACTTTTAACTCAGAGAGAAGATTTCTTACCCATAACATCACACTCAAACCTTGTGACATAGCTCTATATTCAGCTTCAGTTGTTGATTTGGACACCACTGGCTGCTTTTTTACTTCATCATGACACCAAGTTTTCCCCAACAAACACACAATAACCAGAAGTAGATCTTCTGTCATCCAAACAACTTCCCCAGTCCGCATCACAATACCCATCTATATTAAGATGCCCATTCTTCTTAAACCATAGTTCCCTTCCTGGATTACCCTTCAGATATCGAAGGATTCGATAGACAACCTCTAAGTGTCCACTCCTAGGATCATGCATGTATCTGCTCACTACACTCACTGCATATGAGATATCGGGTCGTGTATGACATATGTAGATGAGCCTTCCAACAAGTCTCTGGTACTTCTCCTTATCCACTGGTTCGCCAGATTTAGCACATAACTTATGATTCTGGTCAATAGGTGTTGAGGAAGTCCTACACCCAAGCATACATGTATCATTAAGCAGGTCGAGAGCATACTTCTGTTGTGACAGAACAATTACTTTAGGGAATCTAGCAATTTCTATACCAAGAAAGTACTTCAGTTGCCCTAAATCCTTTACATCAAACTCCTTGCTCAGGCTCTTCTTCAGTCATGATATTTCCACATCATCATCTCCAGTGATTATGATATCATCCACATACACCACAAGGATTGCAATCTCACACTTTGTGTGTCGGTAGAATACTGTATGATCCCCATTGCATTGCTTATATCCCATATTGCACACAACACGCCTGAATCTATCAAACCATGCTCGTGGAGACTGTTTGAGGCCATACAAAGACTTCCTTAACTTGCATACCTTTCCTGATGTCTCGGGGTTTGAGAAACCAGGTGGAATCTCCATGTAAACTTGCTCATGTAAATCACCATGCAAGAATGCATTCTTTACATCTAACTAATGCAAAGCCCAACCAAAGTTAGTGGCACAAGAAGTTAAGGTTCTCACTATGCCCATCTTTGCGACAGGTGCAAAAGTCTCATCATAGTTAGTCTCGTATGTCTGACTATAGTCCGTAGCCACAAACCATGCCTTATATCTCTCTACCCTTCCTTCAGGAGTCTGCTTTACAGTATACACCCATTTGCAGCTAACCGGTCGTTTACCTGCTGGAAGAGGTACAATGTCCCATGTTTTATTCTTTTCAAGTGCTCTCATTTCCTTCAACATTGCCTCATACCACTTTGGATCCTGCTTTGCCATTTTACAATCTCTTGGAGTCACCACAGATTGCAATGATGCAATGAATGCTTTGTATCTCGGAGACAGAGATGTATATGATACATAATTAGCTATGTCATGCTCAAAAACCATACCTCTCTCGAGGTTTTCCAGCTCCTACTCGGGTTCCTTTCCTCCAGGCAATAGGAAAGTTCATTGAATCGTCTGCATTAGATGGAGTTGGAGTGGCACATGTCTCACCATCAGACAATTCAACAACTTCAACACTTGTTGGAGCCTGTTGCTCCCCCTACACATGTGTGTCACTTGCTATTGGAGATTGTTGTTGTTCCTGCTCATCTTGTAGTTGCCTCCTACTATAGACCCTTAAATTTTCTTCCTCATTTGGCTTTCTCCATTTCTCTTCAGTCATAGGTTGCCTCCTGGTATACACCCTTAGATTTTCTTCCTCATTTGGCTTTCTCCATCTCTCTTCCCTAGAAGGACATGGAATTGAACCAACCACAACTCTCGGTGGTTCATCTTCCTTTGTCCTTGGTGGTTCACTCCCCCCCTCTCGACTAGCACCACTCATACTAGGAGAGTTAAAGTCAAATAACGAGTTGAGATCCGTTTTTTCTCCATAAAACGGCTCCGACTCCCTGAATGTCACATCCATGCTCACAAATGTTCTCCGCTCGCTGGGACTCCAACACTTGTAGCCCTTCTGCCCAGATGGGTAACCTATGAAGATGCACTTCACTGCTCGTGGATCCAATTTTCCCACTGAGGGTCTATGATCCCGGACAAAGCAGGTGCATCCAAACACCTTAGGAGGAACTAAGAATTTATCCTCACCTAGTAACATCTCACATGGCGACTTCATTCCAAGCACTCTTGACAGCATTCGGTTGATGAGGAATGTAGTTATCATTACAGCCTCACTCCACAAGAACATTGGCACGTTCATTGTATACATTAGTGACCGAGCAACCTCCAAAATATGGCGATTCTTCCTCTCAGCTACTCCATTTTGAGGTGGTGTACACGGACAAGATGTTTGGTGCAATATAGCTTGACTTGATAGGAAAGTGCCAAACTCGTTATTCCCATACTTGGTCCCATTATCTGTCCTGATCACCTGTATCTGTGTACTGAACTGATTTTTCACATAAACATAGAAGTACTAAAAGCATTTGAAAACCTCATCCTTATGCTTCATAAGATACACCCATGTCATACGAGTATAGCAATCAATGAATGTAACAAAGTACTTCATTCCACTCAGGGAGATAACAGGACATGTCCACACATCTGAATGAATGAGCATAAAAGGGAAAATACTCCTAAAACCCTTACTCACATAAGATGTCCTTGTGTGTTTAGCAAACTCACATGCATCACCACACAAACTTGTTCTTATCCACACCACACATTACATCGGGAAAGACTTTACTCATCTTCTCAAAAGACATATGCCCCATTCTACAATGATGAAGCATTGCCTTTGTTTCCTTTTCTCCCATCATTGTTGCTAACATCACATACACCGTATTGTTTGGCACCTCTTGATCCATGTACCATAGCCCATTACGCCTAGTTCCAGTCCCAAGCCTCTTCCCTGTTTGCCTCTCCTGAACTAGACATAAATAGCACTCAACTATTACTCGACAATCCAAATCGTCAACCAAAGCACTCATTGACAGAAGATTGACTGGAAAGGCGGGAACATGCAAAGCAAAACAGATGAAAGTCTAATAAATGGTGTGCATTGTATTGTGCCAATGCCTTTAATTTGATGTGAGGTGCCATCAGTAGTTTGGATAGTCTCCTTACATGTGGGTGGATATGGAATATATGACTCAAATTCCATTGATGTGCCGGTAACATGCTTTGATGCCCCTGAATCTAATATCCAATTAGTATGTGATCTTTGTGAGAGAATAGATGCATGAGCATAATTACCTTCATCTGTATATGCAAAGTGAGTAAAGTTGCGGTAACTATAATCCTCATGACCCTTATCACCTGTGCTTTCAGTTCTTTTCTTTGATTCTTCTTGGGTTGCGCGTGAGGATCCTTCTTCTGGGACTGCCAGATTTGCTCTTTGACCACCAGAGTATCCCCGGCCTCGGCCTCCCCTTAATCCACCTCGGTTATATCCTCTCCCCCTTCCACGCATG